ATAAAAAGATATTTCCATATCAGGAAGTTCAAAAGATTAGGATGCTACACAAATGTAAGTTAAAGGAACTCATAAATGTTTCAGGAGGCATTGCAGCAGAATTATTACCATAATTTGAGAAAGGCAGGCTCTGCAATAAAGTGAGATTCATGACATTGCCAAAATTATTCTTCAAATTTCTGACATATTTAGGTAGAATTTCCATGCCAAGTCAAATAATTATGAAGTTTAAAAACTGCTTGAAAGAATGCTTGAAATTTTATGCTAATTAGGGTGTAAGTTTGGAGGCCTGTACTCTATTAAAATGCTATGTTTTATAGACTCCTTCCAAGATCCAAAGGTATTTATCCATGATTTTTTAAAAAATTCAACAGGATCCTAATGTAAATATTACTCAATTTCCATTTACTTACTCACTCTATAAATGAGCATAGATAGAAACACTGGAGACACAAACAAGGTCTTATGCCTTCAAAGTACTGTCTTCAGAGGGCAAAGACCGCGAACAATAAACAACCATGGAACTGTGGATTGCACAGTGAAGAGTTAACTCAACAGGCTCAAGATGCTCAAATCCACTGTTTTCTGGAAGTTTGGCTGTCATCTCTGAACCCTTGATATATATCTTGAAGGCTTTGATGATTGAGGCCTTAGGTGCAGCTATATATCAGTTTGACCTCTAGGGGGCACTGGAGACTGAGAGGTAAAATCAGCCTCTTGGGCATTGCACCCCAATGAGAGTGGCCTTCAATAACCCTGCACCATGGTTTGACAACCCTTTGCTCTGAGGATGAAGCATGCTTTTGTGTGACTGCTTTGCAAAGAGCAGCAGGGAGCATGTGTCTGACTGACCTCTCCTGCCTCTCTGGGCACCTATGCCTCTCACTGGTTTTGATGTGTATTCCTTTGCTATACTAGACTACAACAGTGAGTGCACCAGGTTTCCCAAACTCTACAAATCCTTCTAGCAAACCACTAAGTCTGTGTGTTCCTGGAGAGGCCAGATAACGTGCACACTAGAAACAGGATGAGGGGTTAGAGCACTAGATCTTGGACAGCTAAGTGTTCCTTAGAGGTTCATGTGTTAAAGAGGTAAGGCCCTGCTCCTCAATGTGGTGCTGTGGAAATGGTGTGGTTTTTAGTAGGGATAACAGAGAAGAGAGACAGAGACAGACAGACAGACAGACAGACAGACACACACACACACACATACACACACATACACACACATAAGAGAGAGAGAGAAACACAGAGAGAGAGGGGGAGGGGGAGGGAGGGAGGGAGAGAGAGGACCACTAAACCTTTAGGAGGTGGGGGAAGGGAGGGAGGGAGGGAGGGAGAGGACCAGTAAACCTTTAGGAGGTGGTATCTATTGGAAACATGCTGGGCTCAGACTCCTTGCTTTCTCTTCCCAGCCAAGATGTGAACAGTTCAGCTCAGATATTCAAACCATAAACACATTTGTTTAGCATCTCATACTTTTTGAAGCTAGATAAGCATTGCTAACTACTGGGACAAGTGCCTGTTCTAAGGAAATTCTGTACCTTCAGCCTTGGGAGACCCTAAAGGAAGACAAATTCAAATAGCAGCCCAGGACTGCCTAGACTTCTTACAGATCTACAGGCTATTAACTGGTATTGTTAAGTTGCCAAGTTTGTGGGGATTTGTCACATAGAAGTAGGAAAGGAGTGCATCTTCTAAGTCAGCTTAGGCTGTTCTATCCAAAGCACCATGGTCTTGGAAAGCTTGAACAAAACAACAAACATTTGTTTCTCACAGATTTGGAAGCCCAAGACCAAAGCTCTGGAAAATCCAGTGTAGATTCTTACGTATGTTTATTAAATGGCTGTTTTCTCACATGGGAGATGACAAGAAGGGGTCAGGGTTAGCGGGTGGTGTGCTCATGTCTCTTTTCTTAAAATCCAACTAGCTTAAACTCTGGTGTCCGAGCCATGAACAAGTCTGAGATATCGGGGAATGAAAGACAAGACATCCGGCTTTTTGTGCTAAGAGAATGCATCTGCTGCCTTTATTATCAGGAGAATGCGTGTGTGTATGCACCGCGTCTGAATGTCTGCCTGTGTGTCTGCCTATGTGTGTGCCATAAGGAGTGAGCAGCCTTATATATAGACTTACAGTACAGTAGAGAAACCCCAGGTGCAAGAGCTCGTGTTTTCCTCATGCTAGATATTGATGTCAGGTAGGCATGGTCAGGGCTGTAAGCCAGGACTAGTGAACAGGATGCACCTGTGGCTATCAGCTGACAAGCAATGCACAGAAATCCATGGGAGCTGGGACCCAACATTAAACCAACTAATAAGGGCTCTGTTTTCACGTCCTAGTCAACTCCAAAGTCCCCACCTGGATACTATGCAGCCGTAGGGGGATCATGTCTTAATATGCAAATTCTTTTTAGGAGTTGGACAAAGACATTCAGCCCTTGGCACCTGCCTTACACTTAATTCTCTTCCCAGTTCTCCTGTGATTGACTCAGAACACAACTGACGCCATGTTAGTATCTTTAACCATTCTGACTTAAAACCCAACATGTAGTCCCCAAAACCTGTCAATACGGGAGCAAAGAACTAACGCATCAACGATCTAGTCCAAAGTTCCAGGAACGTTTCTAAATGTACTCATTCTGATCTTTTTGGGCTCCTGTAGTTCTGCTTCTCACTAACTCAAGTGTTACAACCAGGATGTGGCTTTATGTATAAAAGACAAAGGGCTGACATTTAAGTACGTGGCCAGGCCCCTGGAATACAGTCAAAGAGAGGGAGGAGCAATAATATGAGCAAAGGGGTCATGAGCATGATGGGGAAACCCACAGAAAAAGCTGACCTGAGAGAGTGGGAGCTCACTGACTCTGAACTGACAACTGGAGAACCTGCAAAGGACCAAACTAGGCCCGCTGAATGCGGGTGACAGCTGTGTGACTTGGGCAGTTTATGGGACCACTGGCAGTGGGACCAGGATTCATCCCTAGTGTTTGAACTGGCTCTTTGGAGCCCATTCCCTATGGGGGGGTACCTTGCTCAACCTAGATACAGGGGAGAAGGCCTTGGACCTTCCTCAATGTGGTGTGACAGACTTGACTCCCCAGGAGAGGCCTCACTTTCTCTGAGTGGATGGGCGTGGAATGGGGGAAGGGTGGTAGAGAAGCAGAAGGAGGGGAGGAAGGGGAGCTGGGGTTGGTATGTAAAATTAAAACAGATTGTTCAAAAAATAAAAAGACAAAAGGCTGTGATTTGGGCAAGTTCAAGACCCAGCTGCCTACTGGCATCAAAGACTTTCTTCTGAGCTTTTGGAGTGTTCATGTGGTGGTCCCTTGTGGGCTTACCTTGAAATGCCACCAAGTCTATAAACACAAATACTCCGTAACATGGGTGACACAAGTGTGAGATTCCAGCAATTATGTTGCTCAGATACATGTATTGAGAGTTTGAGGCCACCCTGAGCTGCATAGGATATTCCAGTCAGCCTGGGTTCTATAGAAAGATCATCTCTCTGCTACCTAATTAAAGGCTATTTATATTCATGTGTGTCCCTCTAAAAACTGTCCTCCAAACTGGACTGTAAACTCAGGGGAAACAGAAGTGGCATCTTTATTTCTTCCTCATTCCAACTAATAAAGAGATCGACTAACTCAGAAAATTGAAAGGAAACACTTTTAAATCTTTCAAAAAGTGAAATGTAGATCTTTCTTCTCATAATAAATTAACCATGTGTAATGCTTGTGCTTTGTCATGTGAGAATTCAGTGTTTTTCTTAGGCCCAGTGGGACTCTGTCACTAATGAATGCCTCTATAAATGTAAGAAATGATATATTCATAAATGTATTACAATTCTCAAATAAAAGATGTCAGCACTAGTTCACCCAAGCAAAAACATTTCTGTGTATTTCATCTATTGTGTGTGCACAAAAAAAATCAGACAAAGATTCCAAGGTTTTGCTTCAGTTAAATAACTATTCATTTGGGTCTGGGGAATGATAACAGTGCCAACAATGCAATCATGAACAAAGGCCACATCCTGCTAGGCTGTCCCCAGCTAAAGGAAGCTGGGCATTTATTAAAAGGACTTGCAGATAACTTTTTAAAAATATTTCTTTTATTTATTGTGTATACAGCCTTCTGCCTACAGGCAAGCAGAGGGTACAGGTCTCATTCAAGGTGATTGTAAGTCACCATGTGGTTGCCGGGAATTGAACTCAGGACCTCTGGAAGAACAGTCAGTGCTCTTAAGCGCTGAGCCATCTCTCCAGCCCCCTGCAGATACCTTTGAATTGCATTTAATAGTCGGTGAGTTCCAAGAGCCAACCTCCTCTCTCTACCCTCTCTAACTGAGCATTGATAAGTTAGCAAGTCTTCTGATCCACTTGTCTAGTGTCAGCTAATTATGGATGGTGAGGACAAGGTGGACTGAATGTCTTAGCACACAGTTTTTTAATGAGCTTACAAGTTGCTGATTGCTGTTTTTCCTTAACAGAGATACCAGCTGTCTCACTGTAGTCATATATTTTAGGCCTACCCATATCTTTTACCTCTGCCACATGAAAGATAGTTTTGGGAATTCTTTTCTGATGCTGAAATCAAGAGATACAGAATCTGGGAGGCTGTCAAAGTACAGAGCATCTCAGACCTTCATGGGAGAATTTTTTAAGATATATTGACAATCAGACAGAGGCATGTGCAGAGGCCAGAGATAAGAGTCTCTGAAGGGATCAGAGGGCCTTACATGGGAGTCAACTGTAGGCAGGACTTCAACAAGAGGTGCCATCATGTTTCCAAAATGTAAGTATAACAAAATTCAATGTCAGAAACCATTGGCATCTTCGTTAGGGCTTCTATTGCCGTGAAGACACACCATGACCACAGCAGCTCTTTTAAAGGAAAACATTTAATTGGGGCTGGCTTACAATTTCAGAGGTTTAATCCATTATCTTCATGGCAGTGTACAGGCAGACATGGTTCTGAAGAAAAGAGATGAGAGTTCTACATCTTGATCCACAGGCAACACTTCCTCCAACAAGGTCATACCTACCCCAACAAGGCCACACCTCCTAATAATGCCAGTCCCATGGATCAAGCATTTAAACACAAGAGTCTATGGGGGTTTTCAAACCACCACCAATTATCTAAATTATTTTATTATTTAGAGATGCTGGGAGTTGAACCCACAGCCTTGCACCTACTAGGTGCAAGCACACAACCATTGAGCTAATTCTCCAGCTCAAGATGTGGATTTTAAATATAAAAGGTCCCATAAACATATATAGTTCTCTCAGTTGGCTCAAGGAGAAAATCTATACAATTTTAATACAACCAAGCTTTCCCTGGGCTGTCTCTTTATCTCCTTCCCAATTTTTTGAAAGCATATTTAAGAAATGCTTTTACAGATTATAAATTATACATTTAGGTCTTAGCTGAATATTAATTGGAACTTTTCCAGGCTGAAATGACCCTGGGGTAAAATAAGCAAGCAAACAAACAAAAACAGTACTTCTGTGATAAACATTGGGTATAATACAATAACAGTCTTTATGATGGGGTGAGGGAGGAGAGGAAATATGCTTGCTTGCATAGAACTGGTTTGAGAAAAGCTGAGGCTTAAAATGTATCCTGACGAGTAGGTTTGCTCTACAAATTTAAAATGTGGTCTCCAATAAATTCAGAATGTGCATAGTAAAAATGAAAGTTAATTATGTAGACTCTATAAATGTCTGAGCTTGAGGCCCAGACCAGTCCCTGTTAACTGAGATGCCACTGGCTGGACTCCCTGATGGCTGTGACAGAGTCAGTTCTACTAATTTCAGATGGTTGCCTTAACCTCTAAGATTGCAGTGGACAAACAGTAAAGTGAGGCAAAAAGAGGGAATTTTAGTTCCAACATGGGGGCAATAATCCAGACAAAAAGAAGCAGTAATACAACCCCCAAAGTAGAAACCCCTAGGCCCCATCGACAGCAGGATGCCAGCCAATCAAGAGAGCCTGGGAGAGTCACAGCTGTCAGTTCTCAGAGCCCTCCCCCAAGCCAGTGGAGAGCAGTCCTTTGGGGAGAGTAGTTCCCAGAAGCAGCAGGTCTCAGAGGACAGAAGTGTAAGTAAGTCCTGTCCACATGAGCTAGTCCCTCTGCTGCAGCTGCACGTTGAGTTTTAGTGGATGAAGCAGGAATGTGCTCCCAACCTGAGCTGGAACATCAAGTCTGGGGTAGTCCATTTCCAGACAGTCTTGAGGGCAGGCATCATCAGTCTCCCTGCTCTTTCTGTTCTGACAAGCAGGGCAGTGTGTCTGACTCTGATGTCCCCAATCTTCCTCTGATGTCAGGTTGCCTGGGTACTAGGGCATCAGCCAGAAACAGGAGCCACATGAGAAGCAGACCGAGGAAACGTAGACTTACATGCTGATTGGCTGGGCTTCTGCATGCACTGAGGTGGAGAAGCCAACCAGGATAAAGTCTGTTAAAACCAGAGAAGAGAAAATCAAAGGCTGCTACAACAGGGAAGGTGGCACCTGTCCCTTCTATGTAAAAGAGGAAGCTGTGAAGGGCGGGTGGGGACTGCATTGTGTCCCCAGACTGAGGAGAGATGGGGACTGCACTGTGTCCCCAGACTGTGAGGAGAGATGGGGACTACACTGTGTCCCCAGACTGAGAAGGACAGATGGGGACTGCACTGTGTCCCCAGACTGTGAGGAGAGATGGGGACTACACTGTGTCCCCAGACTGAGAAGGACAGATGGGGACTGCACTGTGTCCCCAGACTGTGAGGACAGGTGGGGGACTGCACTGTGTCCCCAGACTGAGAAGGACTGATGGGGACTGCACTGTGTCCCCAGACTGTGAGGAGAGATGGGGACTGCCCTGTGTCCCCAGACTGTGCCTGAGGATTTGCCTGCACCCGCATCTGGAAGCCAGAAGGTTTGTTCCTTGTTTTAGTTGCTGTTTATTTTCAGCTGTGTATTTTGTGTCAATGGCTCTCCTCTCATCAACTGGAATTCCCTGAGAGACTCCCAGATGACAGGAATACTCCCATGGAGAAACCTCCACTATTTGCCACCTCTCTCTAGACGAGGGAAGTTTCTGACCGGGAACGAAGAGCTCATAGCAGGCAGGGTTTCCCATACCTCTCCTCCCGCAGCTGTATGTGTCCACATAAGAACAACAGCATAAGGATCACAGGATCATGGTCTCAGTGTCTCGTGGCGGGCCACTTTAAGTGCAAGGAAGCCCAAGATGGGGATTCTCAGTGACTGTGTTCACCCTACTCTGCACTGCTCTCCAAGCTGGTTCATCTGAAACTTAGTTCTTTGTCACTTCGTCTCCCGTCTCTTCCTGATCCAACTAGCTAAATCTATCTCCAACACACCCGGGACCACACCTTCCTCCCTACCCTCCTCCACTCTCATTCTCTGGTAAACATCTTTTGCCTCTTTATTAATTCTAGCTCGACATTGTAGGTTTTTCATGAGCAAGATAGTTTTACATGTTTTAGACAAGGACCTATAATCATTGTGCTTTTGGTTTTCGAAGAAAGTTTTTCAGCATCTAGGAAGAAAAGGTTTTTAAGATGACAGAATGAAGAACAGGCAGAGCCAGGCTGTGGTGCCCTCACCATTAATCCCTGTACTGCAGAGGCAGAGGCAGATGGATCTCTGGGAGTGACAGCCTGGTATATAAAGCAAGTTCCGGGATAGCCAGAGCTGTTACACAGACAAACCCTATCTCGAAAAGCAAATAAAAAATAAATAAATGAACAAGAATGTAGGAAAAAACCCCAACAACCTCACGTTAGGGATTAACAAACATTAACAACACAAGACTTGGGTAGCCCAGTTGGGAGAATAAACAGAATGTAACAGGATCGAATGAGGAGGCACACAAAACACCCAGAGGAAGTCATCTGGGGACCATCCCATCTTTGAGGCAGCCACATTGGGTTCCAATTCAGCTTTCACTGCAAAGACATTCCCTGGTGAACATTCTAGCTTCTCATTCCCATGCAGGCACTTTTACACCTTGGGACAAACAATAGTCAACTCTGTGGGAAATAGACACGACCTTCTAGCTGTTCTAAAGAGACAGTAATGTTACTCTTGGGCTGTTTTGCTCCTACTTTTTCCTCTTGTTTATGAGTTGAAGGACAAGCCCATCCTCAAATCTCAAATACTAAGAATTGTAAGACACTTTGAAACAAATATGCTTGTTTCTGAAGTTTAAGGGACTATACTTCAGGCTCTACTGGGTAGGTTTTTGTTAGTGTGACGTAAGTTTGAGTCATCTGGAAAGATATCCTTCAGATAGCCTGTAGGCAAATCTGTGGGGGGCATTTTGTTGTTTAACAATGGATTTAGAGGGCACAGCCACTGTGGGTAATATTGCCACTGGACAGATTGCCATGCGGGGTATAAGGTAAGGAGCTGGGTATAAGCAAGGGATCAAGCCTGTAAAATACATTCTTCTATTGTATCTGCTGCAATTCCTGCCATAGGTTCCTCCTCTATTTGAGTTCCAACTTTGGATTCCTTCAATGATGGGCTGTGATTGGGACAAGTAAGCCAAATAAACCCTGTGCCCTCACCCCATTACTTTCTGCCAGTGTTTTATCACAGCAATAGAAAACAAATTAAGGCAGGATACTGTACCATGATTGTGGGGTATTGCCGTGACAGAACTGACCAGGCTGGTTTGCTGAGGATTGTGGAAATGGTTGCGTTCAACCCTACACTGGAAATCCTTTGTTCTCAAAGCTTGCTGGGGTGTCCTGTGGGGCATAGCTGAGAGAATGCAAACAGTGGAGGCCTGGATGGTGGTGTTTGAAAGAGAAGCAGACTACCACAGCCATCTGCTCTATGTTCTGAATCAGTAACCTGCAGTTTCTGGTCAGCAGAGGCTGGAGAATCAGCTTTGATTAACAAGAGACCAGAACCATGAAAGTGAAACCTTGCTTAGATGGGATAATTGAAGCAACTTAGCTTACACTGAGACAGCAGCAATGCTGAAGACACAGGCATCATGGAAGCAAAATCTCCTGGAAAGTAATTCCTCGGGGTCATCACATGGAAGCTGTGGTCCAGTGGTGGCAAAGGCCACATCTCATGCTGGCAGCCAAACTCAATAATGTGTAAGAATTTCCCATGTGGTACTGGGTTAGGATGCACAAAAGCTGAAGGGTTGGAGGGATGCAGAGAGCAGCTGAGGCTTGGCATGTGAGAGGCTGGGAGACACCATTGGTGAAGATGTTGCCTCCTTGCAATGCAGACCCCAGCACAATGGAGAAAAACAGTGACAAGTGTGGCTTGAGTCAGGCTGACCTGACAAGATAAGATGTGTGTGCTGTAGATGCCACAGGAACCCAGAGGAGGAGTGGCTCAAGAACTTTGGAGCCCAGAAGATCCTTAGTCCTGGGCTTGGGCTACTAAACCACAGTTCCTGATATACACTGGACTGTGGTTTTGATTTTATTTGATTGCGACTAAGTCCTGGCTCTTTCCTCTTGGGATGAGAGCAAATTTAAGTTGTTTTTGATTTTATGGGAGTTCACATCCCACAGTCTCTAGATATAACCTACCAATTCGTTGCACACCAAGAGCCTAAACATAACTGTCTATGTACAAGGACATGAGGAAAACCATAGACCAAAGCAAATATAGAAACATACCTGGACCATGCCTTGCACTTCTTGTCATCTTATGGTACCGCCTCACTTTTTGGGGTGCACCTTCCTTGGACTCTTTTTGTGGGGTGACATGCAGCAGCATAATCTGAGAATGCATTTCCTAAACCTCGTCTTCCATCTTGCCCAGCCCCTGGGCTGCAGGGAGCTTGAGGTTGAAGTCCTGCTGTGTCCCAGGCCACTTAAGGTCTTTTCTGACTCAGAGCTAGTGGAAAAGCTGCTCTCTTCTATAATTATCACAATGTTTCTTGGCAAGTAAATACACGGAGCAGTCATAGAGCGTTTGTGATCTCTGCCCTGGGTGGGTGTCTTCTCCGGTAGGTCAGGAACATTCATCCCCCTCCTTTGTCTTAGAAGAGGGTTTCCAGAGGATGGGACTAACATCTGAAGGAAAGGTTCACTGGCCCTCCTCTTGAGTGGCAGTGGGGGCATGTCAGGATTTTCATAAGAAGGAAAAGGTGTTGCTCCTGGGTTCATGAACTTTGTGTGGACATTATTATCATTGTCCTGGCATACCTGACATTTAAATAGATGGTATGCAGCCATTGTTTCATTGAACTTTCTATGTTTTAAAGATTCACTTATATCCTGAACATTAAATCCAATGTTTTGCATGGCTGCTACAATCCCAGGATCTGGGCAGCTGGTGACTTCATTGGGATGAATTTTAAACATCTGCTCCCCCTTTTGAAGCCATGGGTGACTCATGAGGTCCCGGACCATAGGCCTCTGTCTTGCGTTCATTTTTAGCATTAGACTAATCAAGCTCCTCAATTCTTTGGAAAGCTGATAGGGGATGTCATACCGCCCTTTCAGAACTTTTTCTCTAAGTTCTGACAAGGTGGCCCCTCCAAATGGGACAATCCCTGTCACCATGTAATATAGAAGAATCCCCAAGGACCAGATGTCTACTTTGGGGCCATCATAAGGGATGCCTAGAAAGACTTCCGGAGGAATGAACTGGAAGGCTCCACACAGCCTTTCCAACTTTTGCCCAGGCCTGAATCTGGCACCTAGGCCAAAGTCAATAATTGTCGCCTTTCCCTGCTCATCTATTATGACATTGTCTGGCTTAAGGTCTCTGTGAACGATGCCTTCGTTGTGGCAGTAGCCTATGGCACTGAGCAGCTGAACAAATACTCTTCTAGCCTCATCTTCCTTCAGGTATCCACCCTTCCGGATGCGTTGGAACAGCTGTTCTCCCTTAGCCACTTCCATAATTAAATAAATGTTATTTTCTGTTTCTATCACCTGCAGGAGGGAAACGATGTTAGGATGACTGAGAATCTTCATGATGTCGACTTCGGATATCTTGGACTCACACCACTTCTCCTGCTTCACCAGGGCTTTCACCGCGACTGTGGCACCCGTGAGACGATGCTGAGCCAGCATGACCCTGGCCGTGCCACCCTGGCCTAAGGCCTTGAGGATGGTATACTGCCTGGTGAACACCTCTTCATCAAAGAGGTTGGGCACTGTGCTGGACTCTGACAATTCGTCCTCACTGTCGCTGGACAAGGTTGTTATCAATGTTGCTGTCAAAATAAGGGGTGGGGAGGAAAGAAGATAAAGGGAGTTGTACAGAGGCATGAGGGATGAAAGCAGCATCCGGGGAAATAAAGTAAAAATGCAGGACAAAGGGGACACCCCACAAAAACGTAGCTTTTAAACTAAAGCACCAAAGGCACACAGACAAACCCAAAGTCCACACCCAACCAAGACCTAACCCATAATCCAGCGAAGACGAAGGGTCACAGGTCAGGAATGTTCTTGATGTTACTCGAAAAGCTGAAACAGGAAGTAGGAAATAGGGAAGGAAATGAATGGCTCAAGAATGATTGTGAAAAAATATACAAAATGAAACAAATCTAAAATCAATAGCCCAGACCAAAGACCAACTACTTATAATACCAATAAAAGAAATCTAAGATAAGGCAGAACTCCTGAAGAAATTAAAACAGAAACAGTAGCACACAAAAATCTATTAAGTAAATTGAGGCAGACAGGCAAAAGTAAATAGCAGACCAAACAAATATGAAGCATTAGAAAATCAAAACTAGCCATAAGCCAGGTCAAGTGTACTAATGACCTATGACTATTTTTAAAAGTAAAAAGGTTAAAGAAAAATGAATGAAATTTTAAAATATAACAAAAATTCAATTCATAAAAAGTAAAAAATGCCCCCCAAACACAACTATTGAACACCCAAGAAAAATAAAACCAAAGGAAAAATAAGAATATAAGAAGAAAAATAAGTAAAACTAAAAATAGAAAACCAAGTTTCTAGGAGCTAGAGCCTCCTTTAGTAAAGAATTTTCCTCACAAGCATGATGTCCTGAGTTTATCGCAAAGTATCACTCCCCACTACAAAAATAAAAGCGAAAGAACCACCCACCCAAAATAGGTCCAGTGTCAGTAGCTTTAATCTCAGCATGTAGCTAACAAAGGCAGATCCCAGAGGCTTCTTGGCCAACCAGCCTAATTTAAGTGGCAAAATGCAGGCCAGTGAAATATTCTGCTTCGGAAATTAAGGTTATCAACATACCTTTAGTAAGTCAACTGAAGGTTGAGCTCTGGCCTTCCCCAGTAGTTGCACAGAACAGGTTGATGAACTCACACCCACTCACAAATACACAAGGATGTATATGCACAGAGCACACACACCTACACACAGTCACACAGTCTCACAGTCTCACACACATACATGCACAAGGATGTAAATACACACAGCACATACACCTACACACAGCACACAAACACAGACACCTACACACAGTACACACACCTACACCTGTACACAGTCACACAGTCTCTCACACACACACAGCACCCACAGTCACACAGACACACACACTTCACACACACTACATACAAGCACTCACGACCTCACTAGAGATAAGTAAATTGCACAGGTAGAAACTCCAAACCGCCTCTCTACACCCACAGAAACCTAGGGCAGGCCACACCTTTATATCTTCTGGGTGGACTATCTCACAATGGCTCCTCATGAGGTCATAATAGGACATGCGCGGATCACGGCTGTGCAAAACTCACAGGAACAGAAAGGATGTAAATGCTTCTGGTTCAGGTGGACTCTGCAGAGTAACACTAAGCTTTTTAGAAATTTAAGCTGAACACCATGTGTCAGAGAACTATCCACACACACTGCTATCAGCACTGCTAAATACTCAACGATTCCTACACTAAAGGGCCACGTGCAGATTCCAGGAGTACAGAGGAGCCAGGCTCTGGATGGTGTCTTAGTGTCCTTTTGGTTCCTGTGGTAAAATACCCCAACAAAAAAGCAACATGGTAGAGAAGCTAGTTTATTTCGGTGTACAATTCCTGGTTATAGCCCATTGTTATGAGGAAATCAAGGCAGGAACTGGAAATCATTAGTTACATTGCATCCCCAGTCAGGAACAGAAAGAAAAGGATTCCCACATGGTAACTTGGTTTCTTCTGCTGGATTAGATGTCTGCTCTCCCACAATCACTGATAGCGCACGCACGTGTGTGTGTGTGTGTGTGTGTGTGTGTGTGTGTGTGTGTGTGTGGTGGTGGCAAGTGTGGAGTTTTCCATCAATCTGATATGCAGCAGTCTGGGGACAGCAGGGAAACTTGATGTCTCGAAATAGGGGAGAAGTGGTGTATCACTTGGGCTGATTCTTAGCCATACGTGATGTGTATTTGTGTGTGTGTTGGGGGGTTTGCTCAAGGTCTTCTATCCAGCACTGTATATGAGGCATGAAAGACATAGCATCTGATACCAGGCAGTACATGTGGGCAGAGTCCCATGCCTATTGTCTGGCTCAGCCTGACACCCTGAAGTTTTTCTGGGCAAGTAGGAATGACCATCATGGTGTATAAAACTGTATTGTCGGCTGGAAGGCTAGGGCAGTGCGGGGTGAGTCTAACAGTGCATGATGCCATGAGGAAGCAGAGGGTTCCTAGATGGGCTGGTAGCTAGCAGTTTGTATGGGCCATGGGTGCTGTCCTACAAGGCCCGATACCTGGCGTGTTTGAGGCAGTGCAGGAGGCTGAGGAGCAGTCACTAGTGCTGGCATTGTATGAGGGACATGGATGGTGTGGCAGGGGTGAATCCAACCAGGCCTGAAATCTAGTAGCGTTTGTGAGGTCACAACTGGAGCAGTAATATGTCAGCCAAGTGGCAGGGCTGTGTCCACCAGGGCACATTCTGAAAGTGGGTCAAGTGGTCCAGACACGCAGCAGCAAGTGTGTGGTTTGAGGATATGTTTAGCAGGGTGTGATTAATACCACTGTTGGTGGGGGCACTGCTGGATACCTATCACAAAATGTGGGCTTAGAGAGGCTCCCAGAGGACCTGATATGTAACAGTGTTTGTAGATCTGCAGGGGTTGTTGGGTTCTGGCTGTGGGGGAAGCTGGCCAGCTCATGTAGCAAGTCTGTGTGGTATTAGAAATCCGGCAGTGTATGTGGGCCAGTGGATCAGAGAGATAGAGTTGCCCAACAGGGCCTAGAGAAAACAGGACATGTTGGTTGTCAATGGGCGGTATCTTGTAACATGGCCTGGGTGGTGGTTTGAATGAGAACAGCTCCCACAGGTTCACTTGTTTGAATACTTGGTCCCCAATGACTGGACCTGTTGAGAAGTGTTAGGAGTATGATCGTGTTGGAAGAGGGGTCATCAGGGGTGGCCTTTGAATTGTCAAAGACTGGTGGGATTCCCAGTGTGCCCTCTCTTTGGTCTCTCTTTGGGAATCATGATCTTAGTTACCCCAACCACCTACCTCAGTGTCCCTACTTCACCATCATAAACTTTAACCACCTGGGATGGTAAACCAAATAAACTCTGTGATCTGTAATTTGCCTTGGCCATGGTATTTTGTCACAGCAATAGAAAAGTAACTAAGACAACACGATACAGAGCATTTCACGTAGGACAGAGGAGAAGTGTCACAGTTTGCACTTACAATCAGGGTATGCCTGTCCAGCATTAACAGTGGGATGTCTAGCATTGCTTGATAAAACATAAGCATGGTAGGTGTCAGTGTATAGAGGCTCTCTTGCAGGGTCCGTTTACTATGGGAAATAGAGGTATTCACCTTGACTTGAAATGGAGCAGTGTATGTGGTACCTTAGGAGGGTTAGGTCTTCAATGCAACCTGATTCCTAGCAGTGTAAGTGTAAGTGTTGTGGTAGGGTATCTAGAAGGACCTGATATAGAGAAGTTTATGTGGTGTGGAAGAAGTGGGGGTCGGCCTAGCATAGCGTGAAACCTAACTGTGTGAGGCAACAGTGGGAGTAGACATGTCTAGCACATCTACATTGGGTGTCAGGGCCCTGCCCAATTCCCTCCCTTACATTTACTCACAGAGCACTTCTTAGCAGGATCTGCTGAATATAATAGTTTCACCACTTCATGTAAAACACTGAGTATCAATCCCTGCTGGCCACCACACCCCTTTCACCTCTCGACTTAAGCTGTGGAGTACCAAGACCTGATGATACCCCAAACTTCCTGCATGCACTGTAAGATATGAGACCTACTGTATACTGTAATTTGGGTCCTACTAGACCCCTCCTCCATCCTACCTATTGTTCTGGGTATCAGTCCATAAACTGTCTCTGTCCATAAACACACAGCTATATTTCAAGCTAGGCATTACCCTAGTGGAATCTCTCCCAGCCTTACTGCCACCCTAAGCACACTACTAGGAGACAGGTGTGGTTGGACATCTGACTACCACACAACTTACACAGGACTCTGTCATGTTGGTGGTTCTCAACCTGTGGGTGGAGACTCCTTTGGGGTCACGTATCAGTTGTTTGCATTATGATTCAAAACAGTAGCAACGTTACATTTATGAAGTAGCGGTGAAAATAATTATATGGTTGGGAGTCACCACATATGAGGAACTGTATTTAAGGTCACAGCATTGGGAAGGTGGAGAGCCACTGTGTCATGTGAATCATTGTCACAGAGCAGATCCAATACATTATTAGATAAAAGGCCCTTCTGGATTTCTGATCAGAACCCCATATACACTGCTAGGGATCAGCCAATGATGGGTGTCTTACTATTACTCAACTTATACTATGAGGCAAGATGGGACCAGCACAACCATGTTGCCCCCAACTCCCTACACTGCTGTGTGTCTTGCCCTACTGGACCCACCCCTTTTCTCCCGTACAGTGACAGGGACTAGATCTTCTTAGACACCCACCCTTTTACCATTCCGCACACGGTTCTAGTTTCGGGTCATGCTGGACATCTTATTGTTCCCATTAAAATTCTCAATATCAAATTTTCTACCAAGTTATCAGACTCTGTGGGACACCCTCCCATCACCACAACCAACCCCCACACTGCTAGTTATATTATCAATCCCTACTGGGAATCCCATCACTCGATGCTTCACACACACCGCCATGTGTCAATTCCTGATGGACAACACTCTCCTTCCACACAAATGTTAGGTATCAGGACATACTTGATGCTTTCCCATCATCCTCCACCAGAGAATACTAAACATCAATGATTGGCTATGATGATGCGGAACTAATAATTTCACACTGTCTTTCTGCCTGAGGTTTCACAGTACCCAGGACTATAGGCACAGGTTGGAGTATTAAGCTAAAAAATAATTTACTATCTCCAGCCCTTTTATTGTAGAATATTGATCATTTCATGTAGTTGCTTGAAGGCGTCCCTGCAGGTGTCAAACAGGGGAGCAAAGAAATGAGAAGGAAAACCTGATTCAGATAGACTTTGCCAACCTGACTCTGACTTTGGGGAGTCTAATGCCCGCTATTCATTGTCAGCATATTTAAAACACATTACAGTTTGGGGACCGCTGCACAACAAAAGATCCAGTTCCAGGTGCACAACAAAGCTTAATGTGTGACTGCTTAGAAACTCCTTTACAAAGTACATGTGACCATGAGGGTAGGATCTGTATCTAAAAGTCTAGTGTGGTCTTTAACTGACAGCATAGAGGTCAGCAGGTCATAAAGTACATGGGGCATCTCTCCTGAGGATGGGTAAAATGGTCCAGGGAGGGAAGAGTGAGATAATGGGTTCTTTGAGGGAGATCTGCCTCTATAGCAAAGGAAGGTGAGGTCTGCCTCCACAGATAGCAAAAAGGTCACCAGGTCATTAACAAAATCTACTCCCAGCCTTCTGGGTGGGAAAACAGGTATTTGATCTTCCCTACTGAGAATAGTCCCCCCTGTGTTTAGCATTCCTGGTTTACCTAGTGATCTGTGTGTGCAAAGACCTTTGTGGCTCCCCAGGAGTTGCTTAATTTTGTGTATGTGTGTTGCACACATTTTTACAGATGGTTGAGTGTGTGTTCACCTGTGGAATCCAGGGGTCCACATCCAGTGTCCACCACTCTCAATCCAGTATCGACCACTTCTTCAATCACTCCCTACCTTATTTTTTGAGACACGGCCTTACTATCTTTGAGACAGTTGCCCTCACCTAGAGGAACATATTTTACTCAGTTTGGGTTCTCATGGTAGCACAAGCACTTTTTTAGCTGGCCACCTCCTCATCCCTTACACGTTCCTAGTTTAAATAAACACCATTCTCTGACATCATGTCTATCTTTCAAAAACAATAAATATAAGTAGCCATTATTTCCACACTGTCTCTTACATAGTCTGAGAGACATTAATCACTGCTGACAATAAACATGGCATCTTCAAGAGAATTTTGGATACACGATTATCATTTTGGGGGATGATGGGAAATTGGAAATCTGATAAGAGAAAAGAAAACATTTAATTACTTTCCATGGGGAGCAGGCATTTCCTTTTGCTTTTTGACACTTCCTTTGCTTTTTATTAACGTGAGTTCAAACCATGTGTAGATCTGACCCACCAGTGGCTCAGACAGGGAAATAGGAAACATCATCCACTACTCTAGTATGTTTATAGGACGTTGAGTTAATGTATGTGGAATCCCTGGTTTTCACGCACACTGAGGCATAATAAATTGATTCATTTGTTTTAAATGTCAACATCAAATAGTAACAATCTATTTGGATTATTTTACTCAAAAAAGCAGGAGATAAGTATCAGAGGAAGTGTGCTTGCTTAGGCCAGGTGCTGAATCCATCCCCAGTATCACAAAACAACCTCAAAAATAGTTTACAACTCTTCGTATCCAGACGTCAGATCAGGCTACTCGCCATCTTCAAGTATTTTTGCAATGTTAACATTTTAGTACTGCATTTTAAGCTGAATATTCAAAAGACAATTGAGATAGTCGAGTAGCTGTTGACTCACTGAAAGGGTAGGAAAAAATAATGGCTGCAATCTGCTAACTGTACCAGGACCTGTTTAAGTCTCTTGTCCTGGGATGTGTAATGTCAGTACCCAGGACTAAGGATCACCATGATTCAAGGACGGCCTGATCTATTTACTAAGTTTACTAAGGTTGAGGAGGAAGAGCTGGTGAAAAGCTGCCTTTGATATTATTTGGGGGAGTTTAAGTTATCAGTGCAACTCTGGAGGTTTCTAAAGTCCTGTGGCACTGTCTTCTGCTAACGTCCAGAAAATGCCTTCTGAGCTTTTACAGAAAAGGCCACATTTGGAAGCAAGGCCCGAGCAACGAATGGAAAACAGTCTCTACCTCTGTACTACAAGATTGTGCCAGCGGAAGGCATAGCTGGGCATTAATAACCACTCCCGGCTAGGTTGGCATTAAACCAGCACCAACGTGACTGTCACAACAAAACACTAGTTACCTGAGCCTCATTAAGTTCCCAGGCTTAGTGAAAAATTCAACAGGGCTGGAGTCACTGGGAAGTGACTGATTCCCAATGAGCTATACAAAGCCAGCCCATTAAGGCACTTCATGCTATGGGCAGGACTCCCCAAGTGGAAGGTGCATCCCCAAGTGGAAGGGGCGGGCTTGAAAGCACTGAGCTGAGGCTAGGGGCTGGGTTGGGCTGGGCTAGGGGCGGGACTTGAATGAGTGGGGCGTGGCCACAAGACAGGGCGGGGCTGGGATAGGGAGGCAGAGCTGGCATTCTCAATTGGTGCTGAATCTGCTTGCCTTCCACAGACCCGCAGGTGTTGGGTCCTTTGGTCACATGCCACAGGAGCACGAACCCTTCTCACCAACGGTCCCACTGGTCTTCGCTAACGGCAGAGCTCAGGCAACCGTAGATGTCTCTGCCACCTACCGCTCGGAGTGAGCTCAGGAGCATGAGACAATGCACAGAAGCTCATGCAGTCCTAGGGTGACACAGTGCGCCCGTGCAGATCCAGTGAAGCCTCAGGGCCAGGCTGATGCTGTTGAAAGTTCATAGAACAGGTGAATGTTTTCACTGTTGAGTTGGTCGACATAGGACAGTCACAGAAACACTTGTGGTCCTTGGGGTATGCTTAGCTTGAGCTGTGGGTGGTTAATGGTTAGTTTGTAAATATTTGAAAATTGGTTAATAAGTATATAGCACTCTGTCTGTACAATGTGATAAGAATGTCCATCTTAATACTATGCCGATAAAATGTTATAGAAAGCTAAATTCACCTGGATAGATTCCCACTAAAATTGCTTTTCTTGTGTGCCAGTCAGTTCTGTTAGGAGGAATGGTCATTTGGGTATTAAAAAAACCCAAACAAACAAAAAACCACTATCTTTTTGGGATGTTTATATAAAAACAACTCACAAAGTGTTTTATTTACTAGAAGGATACCAGTTATAGAGGCAAAGCTGGCAAATGTTTGAGTCATCAATATAATTATAGCTCATAGGAAAATATGTTTTCTTAAATGGCCATTGTAGCTGTGCATAAAATACTGAATCTTGTGACAGTTCCTTCCAACTGTGGAGAATCCATCTTATAATAGAACATATATAAGGTTATATATGCACACATGTATCCATATGTTTCTGTGTGTTCATAAATGTACTGGGCATGTACTAATTGAAATCAGCAGCCAGAACAGATTAATCAGAGATGAGAGAAAATTATAGCTTAGTTCTTTATACTCTCCCATTGAGTGCAGGGTGAGATGTGTACCCACAGGTCAGTGAGTGAGTCATCAATGAAGGTTTGAGGAGATGGGGGCAAGACCACAGGAGTAAATGATGAGAAGGATGCTGAGTGCACAGACATCCACACATAAGTCACCATCCACTTGCAAACTCGGTTAACCTTTTTATGGTATTGTTGACAGTAGAAAGCTGGCTGACTGTGGAGAATGGAGTTCCATAAGATGGCAGTGTCCAGCAACACCAGCTCCAACATTTACTGTCTGATCTGGCAAGGTATTTACGTTCATTGCTGTGAATTTGGTCATTATTGGATGAGAATTCCTGATCCCATCTCAAAAGGTGGTAGTAAGGAGGTCTTGCCTGCACATAGATGCACTCTGCCCAGATCAGGGCTTGTCTGTTCTGCTGCTTCTTCAAGATAATTTCTGCCTGACTTTTGCTCCGGGAGGGTCCCTTGTCACTACCGGTGTCCTTGTTGCTTACGGTGTGCGCTTCCATTTGTAAGTTTCCATTCCGTGTAGAGACAGCACGGAGACTTGCTTCTGGAGGACATAGGAGCTCTTTGCATCAAGCTGCTGTTAGTACAACTCAAGGTGTCACACCTAGTCATGTGCTCCTGAATGTTTTCACTCCCAAGACTGTGTTGAGCATTTCCCTAAGTATTTCTTGGCATTTTGATTTGTTTGAATTTGGTGGCAAGTGGTAAATTTTACTTTGGCGATTTGCAAGCTGTGGTCATTTTCTAAACATTTAATAAATGCTTACCCCACGTGCCAAGGCATCTACGCTTAAAGGAGTGACAAAAGAAACTATTTGCAGGAAAGTTAATACATCTGAAGAGATCTCCAGCAAAATAGGTTTTCATGCTTGCATTTCAGTGAAACTATTGGATAGGAGGAAGGAAGGTCCTTTAGTGTGGTAATTTATCTGATCTTTTGGAGTTACACTTGTGACGACATAAAAAGACTCAGTTAAATTTTTGTTGGAGTTTTAGTAGTCAAATATGAGTGGGATAGGCTTAAGGTATCAGACTTGAATTATGAAAGTATTCATACCTCACAGTGAATAGTATTTTTCTTACATAGCCTTAGCAGTTGTTTCAAAACTGATGATATTTCTTGTTGACAATTGTTTACAATGCAGAGGTTCAGCTTGTTACAGTAAATTTAAATGTTAAACGAACAGTACCTTCCCCTGCAGCAGTGAAAGGCATTCATGATTTAGTGGTTAGCTTAGCTGCCTTCTGCTCCATTAGTAAGAAGACTGGCTCCCATCATCTGCTCTCCATTGTACTTCATTTCTTCAGTAAATTACTCAGGCTGTCATAGAACACAGTCCTTCATGCAAAACAGTCACCATCTTCATCATGTGAGTTGCATTTACTCTCAGTGGTCTTTCAGGACTGGTAGGCTGGAGTGGCGAGCCATCAGACTGTCATCTGAGCTTCTACCCACTCCTGAATATTTCTGTGCAATTCTGCTCTTGGTACCCTTGGCCTTGGGGGCTGGGTTCTCAGAAAGTGTTTATTAGGCTGGGACATTGTATTGGACAGTGCTCCTTCTGTACAGTGTGGGGATCACCCTCCTCCATGCTGGGTGAAGACTAGGAATGAGGCTGCCTTAGGGGCACCCAGGTTCCTGCCAGTATCTCCTCACCCATCCTTTGTAAGTAAGCCCAATAGTTGGTTCCTCAGTGGGAACTACGGTGGAATCCTGCTTTGGTTCGTCACTGTGGCCTTTTAAGAAGGGATAGCCATTACTTATGGCTCTTAGGAAAGAAGTTCTCACAGCACAGGCTTAGCAGTGTGGTAGTTTGTTGACTAGAAATTACATTTATATGCACTTCTTTTGTCTTGACTCCTGAAGTTATGTGGACTATGTCCCCCTCCCGCTCTTATGAGATTAATTTATAGATTTTGATGTAATTTTGTAACATTCTGTAGCATATCCATAGATTATCTGACTGCCCCTGCCTATTCTCCCTTTCTTTCCTCCCCCTTCCCTTCCTTTCTCCCCCTTCCCTTCCCTCCCTCCCTCTTTTCTTCCCGTCCTTCCCTTCCTCCCTCTCACCCTGTCTTCCTTTTTCCTTCCCTCCGTCCCTCTCTGTCTCTCTCTGTCTCTGTCTCTCCCTCCTCCATTCCTCTTCCAACCTGTGGTTTAAAAGTTTTGATTGTTGCAATTTGTGACAAACCCTTGGAATGTCACAGACCTTCAAACTTAATCCACTTGTGGAAGTTTGCTGTAGGCATTGCAGAGGCCACATGCATGAATTCTATTATATTATCTAAACATATTGGGCATTGGCAGCTCTAACAAGTTAAGAGTTGAGTCACTGGTCTTAATCTAGCTGTCATGATGTGCAATCATGAAAAGTGAAACATGGAGATTGTATTCAATGTGGCCACATTGGGGAAAAGAACAAATAAAGAAGTCACACCCTTACCATCTCCAAGATTTTCCTCAGGATCCTGTCAGGAGCCTTAGGTATTAATACAAGAGACGAGGTACACAGTGCTGATCAAGTGAGGCCCCGCCCACCACTGATACAATACATCATTATCTTGGCTCCACTCCAATAAATCAGTCCTTTCTACACAGTCCATGGTGAGACCAGGTATCTATGGTGAATGTTCTAGATTTTTTTGAGCCCAGCACAACTTGCAGCCAATGGAAATTGCTGAGCATATTTATTTAAGTTGTTTGTGTCCAGTTTCACCCTTATGCTATGAAGTTCTCTTGATTTTGAGAAAATGTGTCACTTACATCCTGTAACACTGTCATATGTGATAGCTGCAGTAGCAGAGAAGGTAAATCTACCAGGCTTCTCTAGAGGCTCAGTAACCACTGACCCAATTACCATCTGGGATTTTTCCTCTCAGAATGCCCTCGTGTCATTCCTTCCACTGTTGTTTATTTGCCTTAGCAGTGTGCATGCAAGACCTATGTTGTAGTCAGATTCTTAAATGACAGCAACATATGCTCTGTGTATTTCCCGTATCTTCATGTACCATCTGTGCATCGCGTGGGGTGATTTGTTTATGGCCTGTCTCCTTGCCCCCTTTCTTTTTATAGCTAGGGATTTAGTATCTCATTTAACAAGAGATCCGATGCAGGGTATTGGCTAGATTGCTTTCTGTTTTAGCATAAAGGAAACAGTTTCTTCCATCTCCAGTTTGTGGACTTCTCTGGCTGTCACTGTTGAAGATTGTCTTCACAGAGTCAACAGTGTCTGGAAGCTGAAAGTGAATCTTTACTCTTGCTGTCCTCTTTGTGAGCACATATTACCGTATATTTATGCCATTAATGTCATTGAAAAGCATACGGTTTGATTCTTTTCAGTGTGACCAGAATGTGTGGAACCACATCCAGTTCCAAGTCATTACAACTCCTTAAAATGAACCTCAGTACCCACTGGTAGTCATGATTAGTCTTTTCTTCCTCCCAGTTTAGAATTGTGACTCATTGGTCTATTTGTGACTTTAGGATGCTCCTTATATGTTTATTTGTTCTTGCTTGTTTTTTCAAGACAGGGTTTCTCTGGTATCCCTGTCTCTCTAGCAGCTCCCTTTGTAGACCAGGCTGGCCTCAAATTCACAGAGATCTGCCTGCCTCTGCCTCCTGGGTGCTGGGATTAAAGGTGTGCACCACCACCGCCCAGCTCTTTTTTTATGTTCTTAGAGTTCCTGACTGGATGTGTGTTTTCCAAATATATTTTTTCACCAAATCTGTGACTTGTGTTTTTATCCTATCAACAGTGTGTTCCCACCAGAACTAGCTGTGAAGACCCCGTCACTGAAAACTCCATGTGCTCAGGCTGCAGGAAAGAACAGAGTCAAGCTGGAAATGAGTTGGACACTTCCTGCTGGCTAGCATTCCTAGTGCTGGAATGTACTTTGCAGGCTCTGGGAGAGAAAAAAATCATGAACACACTTAACTCAGCTCTGTACCCTGTATACTACATGACTGAACAACACGCCACTAGAGTCACAGTCATCATCACTGAGGGAATAATCAGCTGCTTTTAACCAGATTTGAGGCCAGCTCCACTTGAGGCGTTTCAAGCAGGTACTAGAAAGCTGTGCAGTAGCCCTGGGCTGGGGAGCCACTAGGCCCTACTGTGGAAGATTCTACTGTTGTTTTGCTAAATGGACATGTTGTGTCCAGCAAATTGCCTTCTTTAATATTTATCTCTGTATCTATAAATCAGTGATACTCTCAGCTTTGGTCACAGAAACTTTTTTTTTCTCAGTAGCAGTTATTGCAGAGACTCATAACTGATCGGTGTTAGGAATTGGTGAAGACTCGGTAGTAAGTGGGACATCAATGTCATACCAAGGCTCAGGAAACGTTGTGGAAGAGAGAATGGAAAGAATGTAAGAGACAGTAGATGTAGTGGGGATGGATGGACTTCTGTCTTCAGGCAACATCATGCTTCGCACTGGTGAGCTCAGAGCAGCACCTGCAGAAGTCTGGGCACCTCACCATGGTGTCGTGGTGTTTATACCTGGTGATGATCAAAGAGACTTCTGTCTGAAGACTGATTAAGGCTGGCCAAGGTGCTAAGAGCACGTGACTGGTCAGTGCTAAGTCTGAAATGGGACACCCATTTCCCTCTGTCTGAGGCTCGGAGAACATTGCTGACAATGGCTAGGAAAGATTGTGAGAGCCAGACAATGGTCAGGAAGGCTGACAAATGCTGTCCTTAAGGGTTGCCTGATAGGACCTGTACAAGATGGAACCCATAAGCCTTCATCATCTTCACACCGAGTTTCCCACCAGAGCTATATGTATGTAAAGACCCTATTGCTGAAAACTCCACTGCTGTGTTTTTAGGACATAGAGAAATCAAGTCAAAATTGAACTGGAAGCTTTCTTCCTGCTGGCTAGCTTTGCTAGTGCCAGAATATTCTGGAAGGCTCTGAGGGGAAGAAGTCATCAAGAGGCTTACTTAGCTCTAGACCCTCTGTGTCACATGGATATCCTGCCTTGCAATATGACCACCACCGGAGTAAAAGGGGGTAACCTGTTATTCTGTATAGTTGATATATGCCAAAATGTGTCTTTTGCTGTTTTCCCAGGGAGACACAACACACACACACACACACACACACACACGCACGCACACACACACACATTAACCGCAGAAAGTGAATCTGTAACAGACTACTGCTTTTGAATGCATTGAATGCATTTGAAGCTTCCCTGGGGCTTCCTATCTGGTCCAGTGGAGCTTTTCAGTAGCTCTTGGCTAGGGAGGGAGCTACTAGGCCTTGGTGAGGGAAGATCCTACTGTTGTCATGGAGGGGGTGTGGGGTCATGGGGTCTTGTCCTGGCCTGGGGAACTAACAGCCATAATGGGCTACTGGGTGGGGGAGGAAGTCACTGTCTTTAGTGTTGTACCACTGCCAACTCAATCATGATGCTAATGTGAGCAGCCCTCCTTAAATCCAGTAAGTTGTGAAACAAAACCAAATGTCACAACAGTGGGAGGGGGTGGTGGTAGGAAGAAGATGAGAGGGGGTCAGGGGTTAGGGGTGGTCTGAATGTTTATTTACATACATACAAAGTTCTCAGAGTAAATCCTTTCAAAAGAATTATTTGGCACTTCAATGTTCTATCAGGGATGGGTGCTGGGCTACCTAGACCCAAGTCCTCCATGAGGATTTGTAGGTGGATGGGAATTGCTGTTAAGCCTTTGTGAAGCCTACTGGCCCCATGAAGATCCGTCCTTCCTTGAGGCTCTATTGGCAGTTAATGGGAAGGGGAAGGAGGGGATGGAGAGAGGCTACTGCCCATGCTCCTTTGAGTAACCGAGATTGAATTCATTAGACCAAACACACAAAAGATGGGAAAATGGAAGGTGGTGAGATTGGGTAGAGGAAGGACATCAATGAGAGTATGAGGTTGACCCTGAAAGGATAATGGGGGATGAATATGATATATACATATATATATATTATAATGAAACCTATTATTTTGTATAGTTAATATATGCCCAAACCAGGTCTTTATATATATATATGTATATATATATATATATATATATATATATATATATCCTAAGGAGATGAAACACACATATGCTTACTTCAGAAAGTGAACCCACAGCAGACCAAAGTAGGGATTGTACACAAGTCCAGCTCGCTGACCCGGTGACTATTTGCTGTGCCTGGTTACACAGATGACTTTTAAAAGCAACTGTGGGACTCTGAAGAGATAACTCAGAGGTCAAGAGCGGTGGCTGCCTCTCTAGGGGATTCATGTTCAATTCCCAGGTCCTTGGGCAGTTCACAGCCTCCAGTTCAGGGGACACAATGCCCACTTTAGGCCTCCACAGGCACCCGTAATGGATGTAGTGCATGGGGATATATGCAGGCAAAACACTCATCCACATAAGAGAAAAACAAAGTGCTGCATCTCTGAAAAGCCTGCCATGACACAGGAAAACCACAAGCTGGAGCTTTTTGCATTCCACTGTCCTGGGATCTCTTCTCAGCCTCTTGGCTGGTCTGGGGCCCCTCCCACACCAGTGTTCGTTTATGCCTTTTGTCAAATCAGGGAGAGACACCTTAGAATCTTGCAAATGACTCCCTCCTTTGACTTGTGACCCTTTGCTTAGCTCCTGAATGGGCCTCCCTTTCCTGCAGGGACTGTTTCAATAAAGAGGAAATGACCATACATCATTTGCAGAGCAGGAATTTGCCCTTTTCTCTCCATCTTAGGAGGCAGACTGAGAAGCCAGATTTTGAATAAATTCCCACATTGTACTGGCTTCTTGCACAGGCCATGACTTTTGTATTGCATCCCTAAAGCTCATCATGAAACTACGTGGCCAACTTCTAGAAGTTGTTAGTTTTTCATTTTAGGTTTTGGTCCATGATCTACTGCTAGTGGCTTGTATTTATTGTGATATATGCACATGACTTAAAGTCACACTACAACATCTATCTGTGTAGTTGTACAGTTGCTAAGGCCCATGTCTATCACGTTTCCAGAATCCCATTTAACAGTGTACCTATTTAACACTAACTGTCCAGCCCTGCTCTTCATTGTCCTTTTGTCTCTGTTGGTGTGATAATGTAGGTATATTGCAAAAATGCAATCATATAGATTTTGCCCCTTTGCCACGGCTCTATTGTTCGTAGCTTAATTTCCTCAAGGTTCTTGCATATGGTACTGAAGGAGGGTCAGGGGAACTTGGACAAACTTATACTGATCTGGAAAACAGATCAGGCTTCTCCTTGTTCTGGGTTTTTATTTACCTAGAACTTGACAGACCTCACATCCTCAGAGTTATCAGGCTGGGGACCAATGAAGGAGAGGGGGAAGAAACCAGTAAAGGGGGAGGGCCCTGGAACCTTCTAAGAAGTTCCATCCAGAGTTCAACCTGGGGGAATGTTTTCAGTTCTCTTGATGGCAGATGTTTGTCCAAATAAAGTGTGTCATTTCTGTTCTTTCTTTGTGACTTTGGCCTCTTGGACCCCCCAGTCTTCAACCTCATACTGTCTTTACACATAACCTCACATATGGTGGTGTTTTTCCTGGATGTACAATTCTTTGTCAGTCCCACAGAATGAACTCAGTGGTACCCTAGATGACCATTCTTCCCCCATGAAGCCTTAAACAGTTCCACTAGTCCTTGTTTCCCTCCTTTCTAAGTTGGGATAATATTCTGTGGTAGATCTAGACCCCATTATTCCACTCTTCAGTTTCTGACTTTGTGGCTATTATGAATAATGCTGTGTCTGTGGTCATTTAATAACCTGTTCTTGTCTCTACATTTTTCTGAGACATTCTCTGAAGTAGAATTGCTGAATATATCTGTTTTTTTTTTTGACAATTTATGTAGCTCAGGCTGGCCTTGAACTTGTGATTGAAGGAGAGTCAGGAGAACTCAGGCCAACAAGAAAAGAGGAGTAGGTTCCTTTAAAAGGTGCTTCTTCTTTCTCTTGGGGTTGTACCCCATATCCCACACCCAACTAGAACATTGTACCTGTTACAAATTGCTAAAGGCTGGCAGGGGCAGGACCAGTTGGGGAGAAGGGAAAGAAGTATTGAGTTGGTAGAGTCTGGAGATCTTATAAAATGTCCAGGGGACCCAGAGTCCCCTGGTGGACCCTCATCTTGGGGGCCTCCTCCATCCCCGTGATTGCAACTTCCCGCTATAATAACCTTTATGGTTTTCATTCTCGTCTGTCTCCAGCTGTGCTTTTCTGTTAGTTTCTTAGCACCCGCCGCTGTTGCTTCTTTCCAGTTGAATTTTGGTCTTCTGCTTTTCCCAGACATCCAGTCTTTTCTTTGCCCCATGGAATGAACCCAGCAGATACGCTAAACGAACATCCCTCCTCCCCCAAACATCCATAACACGATCTGTCTGCTACCACTTCCAGAGTGCTGGGATTATAGATCTTGTTGAAGGCCTGGTCTGCGCCATTGGTCTAGGAGTCGTCTTCTCTTTTGTCCATGCCTGCAATTGGAAGGTTTAACCTTTTCATGGTTCCCCACAGTCCCTTTGTGTACTTCCTGACAATTTAGAAAATTCGTCCTCTTGACTTGTGTGATCTAATTCCTCCACTTTATCTTTGACTCCTGTTATTCTATTTCCTATTTGATCTGTTGAACTTGAAAGGCTTTCGCACAAATTTTCTGTGTGGGTTCTTGAGTTGTTCAGTGCTAACCTCATTTCAGCTTTGAGTTCTCATCATCATTTCTCTTTATTGAACTTGGTTTCCACATCCTGGGTTGTCTTCCTCATTTCATTTAGCCTTCTGTTGTGTTTTCTTGGGCAACTCTTGGGTAGTTCATTTCTTCATGTGTGCAGAAACACATCTCTTTGTGCCTTCTTTAGGCTTCTTGATTCATTGATGAACTTTGTGAGTGTTCTTTTAAGTTCTGTGTCCTGGAGCTCCTCTAGTTAATTCTCATTACAGAACATTTCTTTCAGACCGATGGGTTCTGGGGGCCTGGGGATGCTGTCTTGATCTTTTATATTGTTTGAGTCTTAGCACTGAGAGAGACCGGGCATTCGGGCTTCTTTCATTGGGTTGTGTGTCTGATGTGGAGAC